CACAGATCATTGAATACCACCAACAGATAAATTCAAAAGACGCACGACAATAGATCAAGTGTTCGATTGATTAAAATACAACAAAACTGAACTCTCGTCATCGATAGCCTCCATTCATATCAAGAAATGTAAAATGTACATCGGAATTGATTCAAATAATTTCTTTTTTCATTCGTCGTCAAGTTCAATTCAATGTTTCCCATTTCCTCCATACATTTTGATATGAATCAAAATAGACTACGTTACAAGGGTTCGAATTGTTTCCGTTAGATGACAATAAATCGAAACCTCACTTGGGGTGTTTATTTAATACAAAATTACTTCCAAAGCCACTGTAACAGTAGCTTCGTTAAATAATTCGATTTCTTTCAATATTTCCATGAAGATATTTGGTTTACATCATTTTATGGATTATTACATTGAGATTTCGATTCATATTGAAAGTCAAATTGAATATATCACAGATTTCAATCACACCAATTTACATATAGTTCATATCACGCTATATTGTAAAATTTGACATTTGCGCTTGAGAAATAATGAAATACAATATTCGTTGCGAAATGTATGTGGTTTTTCATCATTATTTGTAAACCGCCATAGGCTGATAAAACGTTTTTTCAAACTTTGAACAAATTACTACATATATGATTGTGATCGATTCGTCATTGATTACTGAGTTGCCGCAAGCGCTATGTTCCATACCAACAGCTGTGCCAACAGGTGTTAAATAGTACATGTTTTCACATATGAATGTCAATTTCTCGAATTGCATTTGATTGAAATTAAAAACATTTGAATATAAAACGTTCCCGTTTAAATTTATTACAGAAATTGTATACGGCTTCAATTGAAAACTCATGCATATGAATTTTTAATAACTAGCTTTTGTTCAACTGTAGTGACATTCGATGAATAATTAAATGCACAAATTTTTTTTCCTCACTCTCTTTCAATGCCAATGCAATCACCAATGTTTCGACATTTTTATCGGGCAATTTTCCACCTCGAATGATCCGGAGGCTATGAACTTTCTCTCGGAATCATAGTGCTTCCCTATAGTGCGCACAGTATGCGGCACACCTTCACTGCCAGTATATTTCACAATTGCAAAGTGTCACATCGTTTATGTTATTAAATATTTTCATAATTTGTATTGATTCACCAAAGTGAAATGCAATGTTTCGTTTTTTGACCATATACCATTGCCAATGGCAAAGAAATTAAATTATGGTTGGAAAATGGACTTTATTTAAATTAAAATCCGATAGAGATGATGCATAATTATGAAAAACAAATGTACACATTTTAATGGAATAATGTTTTGTGAAAGAACGTCATTTAGTGCAGCCATTTAAAGAATTTTAATGAATATATATTTTTCTTTTCATGTTAATGGAAAATTGGCATAAAACAGAAAATGAATTCTTACAAAATTGAATCAATTTCACAGTTAATCAGATGTAAACACAAACAAGAAAAATGAAGCACAAGTGATTGAGCACATTTTTACAATTCAGAAAAAATAAATATTTGTCTAGAAAAAAGTGTTTTCTAAATGTCTCCCGTCAATCTTATTTTCTGGTCTGGTGGTTACAATCAAATTTTGTGATACACAATCAATGCCAAAGGGTTGAAAAATAAAATTGCTTTATTTATTCATAATATTACCCGGTAACCGATAATTTGCTTGCAGTAAACAATGAATTTTCTTTTGTACACTACGACATCAATGCATACAGTTTGAATAAGTGAGAATTCAGCTGAGAATTACAAGTTCTACGTTGAAAAGTTGATGTTATCTTTCATTCCCAGTGGATGTGATTTGCAGCATACAAGAAAATATTATCACAAGAGAATTCAAAATCTAAAATAGACAAATTAAGGTTTTGTTTTTACAAAATTTTGATCGAAGCATCACATAATAATATTGTCGACACACAATAGAGAATGGGTTGGCTTGCAATTGACAACACATTCACACACACACGAACAAAAAAATTGAAATAACTTCAACAAGTAAGATAAATTTGTGTGCGAAGTATTTTAAGAGTGTCTATGTCGTTTACATTCGCATATTAACGTATACATTTTGCAAAAGTTCGGATGTTAATACGACAACGATGTCGGATTTATTCTTCACTTCGAAAATGGAAAATTCAAGAAAATTGAATGCAGAGGAAAATGTTGACGTTGGTTGTGAATGTGTTGTCAAATTTCATTTAATCCGACGTTTGTTTGCTTCGTCGTGAACGTGAATATGTGTTGAAAGTTAGTAGCATGAGACATAATATGTGCGGCAATGAAAGACCCTGAAATTTAAAGAAAGAAAATACATAAATAAAATGTGTAATAAATTTGAAATGATTTTACAGACGCATACATGCAGAGATTTAACACTCTTCTTCCCCATTTGCCATTAATATGCTGCCATTATATCTGCTTTGCATTGAATCGGGTTTTGCTTATTTATTTGGTGCATGTGTTAAGATATGCGCTTTGCTGATAGAAATTATGCAATGGAAATAATTCGTTCGCATTCGTTGGCAATACATAACAATGTTCGATGCTACACGAATACAAAATTTCATTTTCAATCCATTATTCTTACTTTTGGCTCATCATACATGCATATACATATACACATGCACACACGCACGAATACACCATGCACAAGAATGACAGAAGAATAGAACGATGCTGTGCAATCACTGCATATTTTGGCCATTTCCGCCTTGGGAATTTTGCATTGTAAATTCGCTTGAGTTTCGTCGTCTTGCTGTTGTTGCTCATTGTTTTCCCAAAAAAACATAATAAATTGTTAAACATGCATATTCAATATTAAACCATTCGCCGTTCTTATTACACCATTTTTTTTTTCGTTCATCTGACTCTATTTTGTGTGTGCCTTTTGTTTTGCTATCGTTTCATGTTGCTGGAATTCGAATTTTGCGTGCGTATGAAACGCTAAAACGCAGTCAATAAATCTATTTTTCTTCTTTTTCAACATTTCCAATATGCTCGAATTGCTGAATAGAACACATTGTATGCCATGCTATTCACCGCTCTGTTTTTAAATAGCAATTTCGATTGTTTTTAGCTTCTCGAATAGCAAGCGCGATTAATCGTTTAAACATGTATGAAATGGTGTGTGCATAATATTCACGTAATAAATCAAATTGCTTTCATCATATTTCATACATTTGAGAACGAGCGAACGAATTGATTGTAAATTTACACTCGTTTATTCGTATATCATGGCACAGCATGTATGCGTGTAGTCGCGTGTAGTATTAGATATTCGCTTTGAATTTAACAATCGCATCATTATACGTTGCTGTGTGTGATATGAAGACCGGCATGATATTGAAGTTGCATTTTCACCTTCTCAACCAAATAGAACAATGTTTCACTTTAATGACTTCAAGTTTCTTTCGTATTTTGTGCGTGATGAAAATTGGTTGTGCCAGCGAGAAAAAGGGGCGAAAAAAACCCCACAAACATTCATCTTATCGATAAAAGGCATTTTGTTATTCGATCAGAATACAAAATTGTTTAACGTTTGAAAACTCACGTGAAGTAATCGACTAAAGTATATGTTGTTACCTAGTGTAATGTAGTATGCTACGAGGAATCCCATTCGGCGTCTATTTTCACAATTTTGATTAATTTTGCCGTTGTCAATCGATCTCAGAATACTTTTTGATTGAACATTGTTGTGAGCGAACGAGGATTGTCATTGACAGAATGAATCAATATTATATTAGTTATTTGAGAACAGCTGTCTTCGGATTTCATTTCATTTGATGAACTGAACAAGATGACAAAAATATTTTTAATCAAAACGAACAAATTGCGAGAAATTCAAACCCAATTGTAATTCAATTTTTAAATGTCTGCCAGCATGTTCAACGTTAAATGACGAAACGAGCAAAGAAGATGATGTATGCACAGCTTTTCACCGTTTTGTTAAAAAAAAATAATAATCAATTTATCTTTATTGAAGAGCGTCATTTTTTCAGAAATTCAATCTAGTCACGTTCTCAGAAACTAATATTTTTTAAGCAAAAAGATATTTTCGCATACTTTTATGCTGTAAAAATGGACATTCAATTGATTCTGATTTCATTTCTCTCTCTCCCTCTTTCTCATAATAATTTCAGATGGATTTACGACATTTATACCAAGGACCCGATTCAGATAAAATTGAGATTGGCATCGATCTACAAGACTATTATATATCAGTGGAATGGGATATAATGAAAGTGCCAGCTGTACGCAATGAAAAATACTATAGTTGTTGTGAAGAACCATATCCAGATATAATATTCAACATGACATTAAGGCGCAAAACATTATTTTATACAGTGAATTTAATCATACCGTGCGTTGGTATATCTTTTTTATCGGTATTAGTATTTTATTTGCCTAGTGATTCGGGTGAAAAGATTTCATTGTGTATCAGTATATTGCTGTCGTTGACGGTGTTTTTTTTACTATTGGTCGAAATTATTCCGCCAACATCGCTCACAGTGCCACTATTAGGAAAATATATATTATTTACAATGATGCTGGTTACGTTATCGGTTGTGGTGACTATTGCCGTACTTAATGTTAACTTTAGGTAAGTCATTTTGATTTTTACTGAAAACACTTTGACTGAAAACACTTTGACTGATTCAACGAGTGATGAGCATCGAATGAATAGTCCGTTTCAACTTTTTTTTGTATTGAAAACTCCATACTCTTTATGGTCTATTTCAACGAATGAATAGAAGCGTATTTAATATCAGCACCCTACACACTAATGCTCTTTAGTTCGACCGAATTTAAACTTAATGCAAAACCTCCACCCAACTACCCATTTGTATATATATCTTTCTTGACAATGAAATGCAGTGTTCCGTTCCAACAAAATAGATAACAAAAAATACAATGAAATCATCGTAATTATTATGTTTTATGCAAATTTAAAATTGCCATTTGCATATAAACTCAACGGATTTTATTTGTGTTTCGCCGAAAGTGTCATGAATTCCATAAAATTCGACAATCAATGGCGAAAACAGCATAACCAACCAAAAATTTAGCGATGCATCGCATATATTCTGCACTAACAAGGGTAAACATGAAAAGCAGCTGGTTAATTTACTGAAAATAGAGTTTTAAAAAAATTACTTTTGTCAAACCAATCCACTAAAAGATACCGCGTTGGGCTCGTAAACGAAGTCTATTGCAGTAATGTCATCGCTGTTGAAAGCAAATAATTTGCAAACAAAAATTAGAAAATTTCAAAGCTCAAATGATAAATATGTAAAACAGATTATAATTAATGATGCACTTTAGCGCCATTAATTTCGCTGTTGGATGTATGCATCGTGATCATGTTTCGAGAGTAAAATAAGAGAGAGAGAGAGAGAGAAAGAGGAAAGAGAAAAAATACACACAAATTGCGCTTAATATAAGTGCACATGTTCACTCTGCGCATTTTGGATATGTATGCTGCTGCTTTATCATAATCAACAATTTACCAGTGCTCACTGTATTTGTTTTATCTAGACAATATTGCGTTCGAAGGTCTGGTTTCCATCGCATATGTTGAACATTAAATAATTTACATTTTCGAACAAAAACATAAAATGCAGTGAGCCAGCCAATTTGTGCTAATTTACATTTTGAATTTTCTCGCATTACAAATGAAACATTGAAATTCAACAACGGCATATATATATATCACTTCTAATTAGAAACTTAACTTTAGCACAAAAACACATTGGAGAGTTTCTTCGGAGACATTTCTCTTCATTTTCAAATAAATTGCTGTCTTTCGCTGGTGAGAGTTTCATCAACATTCAGTTTAAGCGACAAAATTGACTATTTTCATCGAGTTACACACATATAATTTCAAATGATTACATCATTATATTTTCAAAAAAAAACCCGTTCGATCAGATTAATAAAATTGTTAACGCATTATCATTGACTAGTGTCGATGTAATTCGATAAAATCGATAGTCTCTAAAAATGTTGATTTTTATGTCGAACAAATCCTGAAACATTAACTCAAATGTGCCATTAAATAGTTTTTTGTTTGGGCAATTATAGTCAGGAGGAAATACCTCATAATTTGATTATGCAGTACATAAAGCCGGTTTGTTTAAACTGAATGGATTCCATAAGTGAAAGCATGAAATGCATACAGGTGATGGTTTTCTCAGTATTTATACCAGTTAAAATAAACCGAGTTTTGTGATTTCATCCGGGTAGCGGAGCATTGTTGCTGAGTTATTAAACTAATGGTTATTGCAAAGGAGAATTTAGCATATCCAAAGCCTTAGATAAAGTGCAACACATGCTGTTATTAATGTTTATAATATGCTTTGCACATCAATTGCTAACAAATGAGTATTTCTATAATGAGATAGAGTTGAAAATGTGTCAAAAAATAAACGATGATACGTACGATGAAAATGTGCGCTGTTCTGGTTTGAAAATAGTTTTAGTATAAATGTTTTGTCGGTGAAAATGACAACCGATTGCCAATTTGCATCCCAAATGAACGTTGAACGATGTAGACAATGTGGCCATTTTTCTGGCAACTTATTAGCTTTTTCGCTGACGAAGCGCTACTTTCTACAATCGTGTAATAATAATAATGCTCATATTCATGTACATAGTTTTAGTGCGACGTCGAATGTTTCATACATACATATATGTACCTTTTGTCTATCAAACATCGAGCGTTGCACAAGAGTCTTGTATCTTATTTTATGCGTTGTGCAGCGCATTTTGGTTGGTTGTCTGATTTTCTGCATAATACATGTAGCAGCTGAGCAACACGTCGAGTTTATATTTTTTTATACTTCTTTTTATGTTTGGCATCAACGTGCACACATTCGGTGGTTGCTTTTTAATTAGAATGTATGTTTCTCGGTGGAATCCGTTCGAAATGATTAAATGTGTGGCTCATTCGAAATGAGAATATGCTAGTCCGCGTGCTATCATTATACACGCAGTAGTAAGAACATAATTTTGCAATTTTATTACAAGTCATTTGAAGTGTGTGTGTGTGTATGGATGCTTTTAGTCGACATCATCGTCATCATTGTCGGCACTGTTACACCGCATTGTGACTTGACTTCTAGCGATTTTAACGTTTTAATGTTAACCAAAATACACACATATACACAAAATACCTTTTTTACAACGTGCAAAAATTGTTATTTATTCAAAATGTTTTCGAGTTTTTGTTTGTATGTTTCGAGTCAAGTTGCGACCACCGAGATAATGGAACCAACATGCCTTGAATATGTAATATCATATAACTCTTACTCAAAAATGTAAAAACATACAACAGGTTTTCTATTCTCTTTTTTTTACTTTGTTCGTTAACAAAGTTCACTCATGAATCAGTCAAAACAAAGTAATTAAAAAAAAACAATTCCGTTCACAAAAAAAAATCCATTCTGATAATCTTGTTTTGTTTTCATTTTTTGCTTTCAGATCGCCTGTAACGCATAAGATGGCACCATGGGTTACAAAAGTTTTTATAGAAATACTGCCGAAAATCCTATGTATGCAAAGACCTAAAAAAGACAATCCACCAAACGAAGATGATATTGGTCCACCGGAGGTGTTAACCGATGTTTTTCATTGCCATCCAGATGTAGATAAATTTACACACGATTATAACACCACCGACTACGGGCTGCCAGGTAAGAGCTGACAATAAGCTGTTGTTTTTCCGACGAAAATAAAATATACAAAAATATAATGTGGAGATGCAAATTCAATGGTTTTTTTTTTTCATTTTCATTCTCAGTGATGCCATCAAGATTTGATGTGGCCGCATCGGGTGGTGTTGGTCCATGTTTCGGTGAACCACCGTTACCTGCCTTGCCGTTGCCAGGCGGCGATGATGAACTATTCAGCCCGGCTGGAAACGGTGATTTGAGTCCATCGTGTTGTGTTGTAGATGGCATCAGTCCGACATTCGAAAAACCAACGTTACGCGAAGTAGAAAAGACAATAGAAGGAACACGTTTTGTTGCGCAACACATGCGAAACAAAGACAAATTCGAAAGCGTAAGTCCATTTGAAGATGATTATAAACATTAAAACCAACACAACGAACATAAAAGACCAAGGGTGAAAAAGAACTTTCAAACACTTTTAATTGGCTAAATTGAGAGATGAAGCATTTTCGTTGACATACTACGCCATTATTCATGATAATTACATTGACGATGTTTGCGGATCCAATTTACAATTTCAATGCAGTGATATTACCTCCTGCAGTGACATTTCACTTTTATGCATTCATTTTGCAACGCTAAATCCGTTGATTATCGTTGCATAAAGAAGCACATGCGATTTACAAGCGCTAAGCACATGTGCGTCTTCCTATTTGCGAACAATTGTTCGCTTGCTCACTTTTCGATTTGATAAATCTCTGGTGTTTCGAGTATATGTATTGTACATATTGTAAGTTGCAATGAACTGGAGCTATTTTGCACCACTTTTAACATTTCATTTGAGAGCTCGTATGAGCACACTGTTGCGGAATAAGTGTGCAATGGTATCGTAATTGTATGCTTTGCTTTCGTTTTGACTGCACCCGCTTGACACATTTGTAACCATTGCCAACAAGAAAAGAAGTAAACATGGCATATAAATAAAAATAAACTATAAAAAAAACACACCGAGTCCCGAATCGCAGATCAGAGAATTAGCGGCACCACACTGGCGAAAGGCTGTGCGAAAGCAGCGAACTTAATTCGCATTTATGTTCCGCTAATTTTCTCCGGAATATGTATGCCACATACAAACTACGAGTTACATAATAAACATAATCTAGCTAATTTTGAGTTCAGTGATCAAAGAACACTGTGCAAGTGTGCATCGAAGAAAACTAACATGAATGTTTTAGTTTGCAGTTGAATCATATGAGCTTGGTAAATATTTTGATAGTAGTTTGAAGAGTTTTTTTTTATTTTGTTGAACAATTTTTTTTTCTCTAATTACTTAATACACTCGACAAAAGCCATCAAAATATTTGACACGAAATTTGGTAATTTTTCCAATGGCATTAAACAAACTTCAGATCATTAATGAAACGCCATATAAGCCGACATAATCAATTTGAAGAGAAACACTTTTAAACTAACCGGATTATATTTCAGTATACAAGCAAATATATGCTTCCATCGAAGTTGATCGTGTTGTAATGAAAAAAAAAAGTGAAATTCATACCATATCGTGGCGAAACGCAAATAATCGACTAATATACAGAGATTTAAAGTGCTGAAGGCACAAAAGTCAAAAATGTCACAGTTTAATTAAACATTAAAATGCAGTGAGAAATTACAGCCTTTTTTCATGGAAGGAAACTGTTTACGTCTAAGCAAAATTGTTTAGATGGAAAAATAATACTTCAAACGTTGCTCTTGGCTTTTATTTTGTAGATACAAATTATATTAATTGGAATTCTCCATAGAGAAAATTGCGTGGCATTTTGATCTATTTTGACTATGAAGTAAGAAAAGACATACTTATTTACTTCATCATGAAATCCCTTTTTAAATGCAGGTGGCTCATGTTCAACAATGAATTTGTTTCCCACACAAAACCATCTCAAAAAATTGATCCCTTAACTGATTTTCAATGTATAAAAAAGCGAATACAATGTAAAATTCAAAGACTCAATTATGGAAAGTGATTTCCACTCAATTCCATATTTTATTGCTAAGAAACTAAGAATATTCGGCACCTTTTTCTAATTACATGTCCGTTAAATGGTCTTGGTTGATTTGTTTCGCGATTTGGAAATTGAAATGACGTATAAATAGGCGTAAAATATTTGCTATATGACATCCGATTTGGTTAGAATCTAACTAATGGTTCGGTGTTTTTATTTATATCATTTTAAACGAAAGCAAAGTAATTAGAAATAAAATCGTCGATTTACCTTGTAGCTGCTTCGCTTCGACAGGTGAATAAATTCAACATTCACGGTTATACATCAAACAAAAAAGATACTTGCCTTACTTAGAAACGTTTATTTTTTTATTTAAATTTTAAGAATGTTGTTACTAAAGCGAAAAAGGTAACTAAAGAAAACTCCACGAAAAAAGAGGAAAACAAAATTGAAAAAAAAAAGGTTTAAAGCAATCTTCGGTGAGTTTTCATTGGCCTTTTCTCCACGTTTGCGTTGTAATTTTTTGCATCACAATGTAAATGCTCGGCACAATAAAACAGCGCATAAATAACGCTAGTTAATCAATAACCGCTAGTTATTTTTTTTATCTCCAAGCAATTTGAGCTCTCATAAATAGAGTAAAACTGTTTGGAATCGTAAAAATGCACTTCATCTACAGTTTGGTTGATTTGAAATTGGAATTTTCAATGAGCATATTATTTTAGTATTCTCATGTGAATGTGGAAATGACTGAAGAAAAATGGCATATGATATTATGGAGTTTTTGACTATGACGAAAAACACTAAATACGAGTGAAATGTCGTGATTTTAACCGAGAAAGCTTTGTTTTAGTCAATTCCAAAGATATGAATTGGATATCATGATTATTTTGTCGCGCAGTTTTTATGTATATTGGCTCTTATATTCCGGGTTCATGACGCCATCTCATTTCCGAGATGCGTAAAATGTTCGAAAAGTTGTCCATTTTCGAAATATGTTTTTATGTCCTATCAGCATTGACTTATCATAATAATAGATATGACTGTTGTATTTTAGGCCGCGATAATAAAACCATTCGTTTTCGACGAATCGTTAATCGGCGCAAACAAAAACGACGTCCCAAAGTTAATAAAAAGAAATTATGTCGATTTTCTTTTGCTTATTTCATCCGCACATGAGATATTACTTCGTAAAAAGCATGCAAAATTAAAAGCAATAAATAAATATGGCATCAGATGCAATGAACTGAAATACAAAACATTTGTTACGCTCGCAGTAATTTATGTTCAAAATTTGAACGACCTTTTGCTATAATTTGTCGTTCATCAAAACCAATTGAGAATCGTTTTTTCATTTCTGCTCTTATTCGTTTCAGGTGGAAGAAGACTGGAAGTACGTGGCCATGGTTTTGGATCGTTTGTTTCTCTGGATATTTTCATTGGTTGTTATCTTTGGTACAGCGATAATCATATTGCATGCGCCGAGTTTATACGATAATACACAGCCAATTGATATATTTTACTCAAAAATTGCGAAAAAGAAGCAAGAACTGTTAAAAATGGGCACCGTGGAAGATGTATAACGACACGCCGGGGGTTTCGCAAACAGCCTGTGGTATATTGTACGAGGCTGGTTGCGTACCCTCTTTGGTAATGTTGAACATAATTAAAACCGAACTATTCGGCATGACAATGACACACATACACATACGCATATTTATATAGATATAAACACACACATACATTTAGAAAGAAAAAAAAAAACAAAAGAAAACAAAACATTTGACGAGATCATGAGAAATAAAATCATTTTCGTCTGTTTTGAATTCTGCCAAAAACGAAGAAATGATGAATTTATATTGATAAAACAAGCGAACGAAACATATTTTGGAATTACCATTCCAATCGTTTATAAATAACATCATCTTGATCTGATGTATAGTTTAACGTTAAATTTCCATTTGATTATATATTTATATACATAAATGTGTGAATGAAAGATAAATAATCATTTATTGTTTTAAAAAGTGAGTGTAGGAATTTTATTTCGTTCATAAGAGAGTAAAACGAAGTGGAAGCGACGAAAAAACTGTTGTAAAAAAACCAAATAGTTCATAAATTCTAGTCCAAATGTTGAAAGGAAAACACGATAGCATTATTGTAAAATTCGAATTTGTATTACAGTCAAATAACAAGAAAAGGGACATAAAGTTCATCAAAAATTCAGTATCGAAATAAGTGGATTAACATTTTAGAATATATATACCGTTTAGTGTGCAATTCAAAGAACTGTGCAATCGATTCAAGTGTTTGTATTTTCTTGAAAATTGAAAATAACAAACTATCGTCGTAAATTGAACAGGCACTCACTTTTCATTGGAATCTACTTGAATGGAATCAATGCGTTACACAAATCCTGAGATTTAAAAAGACATAAAATCGATTACCATTCCATTCCGTTTTGTGTTTAAAACGTCGATCCAAATGGCAACAATAAACATACATTGAAATGGATTTTATGTATATTTGTAATGTAAACCTAGGAATTATTCATAAAAATGAAGGAGAGAACATAACGGTAGGATTGAGGTGTAAGAGTTGAAAACCAGCTAATTGACAGCACTGCTAATGTATAAAAGATGCCACAAAAGAGAATCGATTTTCCTACGTTTTTTTTTTTTTCGTTGTGTTACTAACTAAAACAATTCAAACGATAGCTTATTAAAAAGAAATTGAGCCAACGTAAGAATAAAACGGTGTATTGTTTCACATTCAGGTAATAATCAAAGGAAAACCACGCCGAAATACGTATTTTTCCAGTAAAATCTAGTTACGGGTTAACACAAAACAAAACACTCACATACACATAACAAAGCTAAAAAAATCACACAAAACTGAATCCAAGCATTCAATTGCACTGCTCGTTTGTACTTAATGCACTCGAATTTGGTGGACATCGAACAGAAACTGAGCACGTTCAATTGCCATGTTCGTCCGCTCCGAGCGGATCAATCTACAACGATTACCAACATCCCATTTAGAAGCAATGCACATCAAACACCATCTGAAACTGAATATAAATTTCAAGAAAAACCAACGTTAATCGTATACTCAAAGAAAACACATACACACAAACACACCCTTCGCAGATAATAATAGATAATATATTGTCAATAGTAACTAATAAACGAAATAAATAAGTCAATGATTCCAATATTATATTTGTATCACAGCCGATTAGGTAGTTAAACTAAGTGCACATCGCAATTGTTATTGTTTTCAACATAATAGCGGACAGCGGTATATATATATTATGATCGCCGAATGAAAATCTAACATTTTCAAAATGGTGTCTCAACAACAATTTGCTTTACTAGAAAAATTCAGTTCATTTTTTTTTACCGAAAAAACGATTTTGTACACAATTCAAAGTCGCATAGTCAACAAAAGGTAGCATTTGTATAAACTGTGAAACATTCACAAGTCAATGAAGAGAAGAGAGTATAGTGAGAATCACAAAATGATAATAATTAGCTAGGAGCATCAAATGATATCAATTTTTAGTATGTACCACGATTCGATTACCTTTTTGAAATACACTTCAACGAAAACCACTCACAACCTCGCATTGGTGTATTGTGCATGCCCAGAGTTATAAATACACAAGCTATATGGAATATTTTGATATTTAATACTCTGGAAATGCTTTTCGCTTAAATCAAATCACAAAAGCTCATGATACAAACGAAAATTACATTGCCACCATCTTCAAAACATTCGAATCCGGTTTGAGCATTTCTTTACTTCTCGGATCAAATTCAATCGAGCGAGTGAAAAAAAGATAAAAGCCCCCCGTCAAAACAAAACTCGATTTTTGTTTCACTCGGCCGTTTGTTTTCTGTTACAATCGAACGGAATTTTTCAGGTAAGCCAATTAATATTATCAATTGCATATTATAACAGCTATATATATATGCAGAATCGAATAGAATTTTAGTGAATGCAATTAGCCGACTGACACAAATGCGATGAACATTCATGAAATAACAAAAACAAAAAAAAAAGAACAAATAGCAAACTACGACACACTTTTTTTATACACGAAAAACCAAAAATGATCCGGTTTTTTTTTCACATTTTACATATATATATACTATATCCAAGTTATTCGATAGATGTAATACAAAATGAAACACACTAGTGCTAATAAATGAATTCTATTATGTGCATACGAATGGAATACAAAGCGCCACTTATAACGGAGTCAATACAATTTTCCAATTTATTTATTGGTTTACAAAAAAAAAACGTGAATTCACGAGACGTAACCAATATGCACGAACAAGTTCCATACACACACACACACTATTTAATCGGTAGGAGAATATGATGAAGTGACAAATTAAGCTCAAAATAAAAACATCAAAAAAGGACAAAAAATAATAATCTTACAAACTCTATGGAAATCATTTAGTTTCTATTCTGGCAGATATAGATATAAAAAAATGTGTTTTTTATTTCAACGTAACTTTAGTAAAAAAAAATTCTCTTAAATTCTGTCCGGTCATTCAAATTCAATACAGGTGAACATAATGTGAAAATTGATATGAGTTCCATCGGGATAATAACGAGAGAGAGAGAGAGAGAGAGAGAGAGAGAGAGAGAGAGAGAAAGAGGGGTAGAAGAGGGAATAGAAACGAACAAGTTTGTCTCTCAAATAAATACAATCATACTACATACTTTTAAATTAAACGATGTGAGAAACAACAAAATCAAAACAATGTCTTCTCGATGTCACTATTTATTTTGGCATAAAATGCAATCGAATTTTTTGTTTCGTTTTTCAGTTCAGTCTGATTTCAACATCTGTGATGTGAATTCCGTAGCAGAACAAAAGAAAGAACCATTTAAACTATAAATTAAAACACATTTTCTATGTTCCGATTCAATTCTTTTCCAAAAATTAATAGCTCGATTCGGGTCAATTCTATCAACAATTAGCAGCAATAGAAATAATAAAATTACCGAAATGATTTAGCAAAAAAAAAAAACCACAAAAAACCGAAAATCAGATCAAATTACAATCAAATCAAAACGAACATCATAATTCTTAATCGGCATAATATGTAACTAGTTCATTTGTAATTCAATTTAGTTGGAAAATTAAACAGGAATCATGTGTGAGGTGATAATAACGATCAAATAATGCGCACCATCATCAATTTAAATTAGGACACAATTCGTGGCGAATAACAAAAAATTTAACCAAAACAACCTGTATTAACACAACAAAAAAAATTCAATTTTAAGGGGAAAAGAAAATTGCTATATATGTTTAATATAAAATACTTAAATTTAATTAAATGGTGAACATTTTTAGGTAAATAATGATTTATGTGCAATATGGAAAAGGAAAATACAAACAAACAAACACACACACACGGTGGATATAAAATTAGTTTCGCATGATAAGAATCCAATTTAAAACTTTCTTAAGCGTTCATAGCATGTAAAACTATACACATTTTTACCCATTGAACTATTCAAACATAAATCTGTGTGTACTGTTGACTTTGTATAAAATATAATTGAAACTCAATCACGTAGCCATTGGAAAATAAACACACATACACAAAAAATAGTATCTATAACATCCGACAGAAAAATCCAATTGAATTTGTGTATAGACGTGTAATGGGATATATTTAATTTTAATCGTAAATAAAATTAGTCGTAATTGATTGCCCCCACCCCATTCATTAGTTTAGGCTTTGAATTTTTTATTTTTGCTTTAACAAAATGGAGTAGATACGTAGGACAGAACGTTTATGAATGGTGTGATGCGAGTGTGTAACGAAAAGGATTTAGATTCGATAATAATAATAATTGCGTGGTCAATCAAATGTTATGATTTTATACATTTTCGTTTTGATTTCTTGCATGTTTGATTTACGTTTTGATATCTTCAATTAAATCATTACAAGGAATGACGGGAAATTAATTCGGTGTCTAGGTCAATGAACATTTCAAATTCTCTGTTTTGGAGGGAAATTTCGTTTTTTTTATTTCAACAATTTATTCGATGTATTGGTGATACAATAATATGTTCAGTCCCATCGGTATAGTTTACCGTGTGAACATGGACGAGAAAAAGCTGTTAAAATATTTAATTTTTTATTGAAGTATGTTTTAACGAGTATATGGTTGTACGCTTGTATAACCAATAAAATGCCATGTGTTTTCGTTTATTTATTGCGGTTGTTTTGACAATATAAAATAGCAAATAAATAAACAAGTTCATTGTTTTGACGGTTATGTTGAGTTGACCTGCTTTTTTCTCTCCCCTCTCTAAAAATGGCCAATTTGATTCTCATTTTTTGCACCGCCCCGCACCAAACGCTCCACTGAACAGTGAAGCTGCATAACCGAAATTAGTGAAGCTGAAAACCGAGCCCTTTTTTCGAAACATATTTTACGCTGCAATTACGTGCGACAATTCAAATGCGAGCGTGAATCGATGCTTTTTATATTTAGTCAACTACATAAACGTATGTTTGTTTGCGTTTCTTGCATCAAATTTTCCAAAAAAAAAAATATCCACCTAACCTTGATACTCTATATATGTACAGTTTGATCGCATTGTAAAATGTTCTCTCGCAAATGGCAACAGCTGTTGTGTAAAACTCTTGATTTACTGAATATTTACACAAAGCGCCCCATTCAAAAGTCGT